TGGGCTGCTGCTGCCCCTATTCTTCTTCGGCGTCTGCCCGGGGCCCCGCGAGGCTTTCAGCGTCGGCCCGGGGCCGCGGCCTCGGCTTCGGCCTCGGGCGGGGGGTCGGCAGCGCCGCGGGCTGGCCCGGCGTCCCCCCCCCCCCCCCAATCGGGCGCGGCCTTGGCATTGGCCTTGGTCCGGCCCGCGACTTCGGAGCGGCCCGCTGCCATGGCCGTTAGTTTGGCCTCCGCGGCTCGAAGAACGACTTCTTGAGGTCGAGCGCCTCGTCGTTGTTCAGGTCGCCCGACGCCGGCTGCCCCGCGGCGGGGTTCGCCCATTTGAAGGCCAACTTGACCGGATCGCCTTGCTCGGCGCCCTTATTGCAGCGCCTCGCGTCGATCTGGAACAGCCGTTCGCCGTTGACTTCGACGCGCGCCAGGCGCTGCGGCGGGCAGCCCCTCCAGCCATCGTTGCGGAGGTAGGTTTCGACCGCCTCGCCTGGCAATTTCTTGCCCGCGAAACCGCGTTTGACAGCGTCGCGGGCCTGGGCCCCCGTCTTACCGGCGGTCGCCTGCCCCCCCTGCGCTGCAGCCTGCCAGGGGCCCGCGGTCAAGTTCGGGGCCCTGACCTGGGTCTGACCGCCGTCGAGCTCTTTGAAAAGCGCGACCATTGAAGATGATGGATTCGGCTCCGATGAGGGAAGCTGCATTTCCGCCGCGCGCTCGGGGTCGCCCTTCTCCCCCCTCTACAATCTGCGCGCCGTCTGCGAGCAATGTCGTAGCCGTTGCTTCTGGGCGCCCTCATTAGTGGAACCGCCGCCCTCGAGGTTGCCGCCAGCTGCGACCCTCGACCCCCTGCCAGTTGCCGTCTCCTTCTGCGCGGCATTCTTCGGAGGCGTCGACGCGCGCTCGCCGGCGCTCGCGGGTTCATCGGGATGGCGCCCGGCCTTGCTCTCGCAGCCTTCCCCCCGCCATCGGCCGCGTCGATCTTCGCCGCAGCGCGCAGCGCCATCTGTTTCGGCGAGCTTGAGGGCCCTGAACCAGCTGGGAGGAGACTCCTCGATCACGCGCTGGCCGCAGTGCCTTAGCAGCACTGCCTTCGCTCGTTTGCCCATCCCCGATGCCCCCTCCGTCTTCCTGGCCTTGCTTTTGATGGTGATCTTGTCGCGTTTGGACAGCTCTCGCGCCGCCTTCTCGATATCTTCGCGCTTGGCGGCCAGCGCGGGCGAGGCCTGCGCGGGCGCCAGACTCGCCGACGCACCCCCAGACAAACGGCGATTTTCTTTCAATCGAGGCCATTCGAATCGCCGCCATTCGGCCACCCCGTGGGATGGCCAAAGGGCGTCATTTCAAATGCCGCACAAGTACGCGTGTCGCACCTGCGCCGGGGTTTTTTGGGCGTTGACTGGGAAATCCACCGCCGACGGGTTCTTGACGTGCGATGCGTTGGCCTGGGTGGCCTGCCGCTGGATGTAATTCGCTTTGCCGTGCTTCCATGTGAAGAGGAATGCCTTCGTCGCCCATCCTCTCAGGGCGATGGCCAGGCTGGAGAGGGTGCTCTCATCGCATTCTGATTTCGAGGACATGCGCCTGCGAACTGCCGCGCAATATCTGCGCCAGCCAAGAGCGGCTTCGGAGGAGGCGAGGTGCAGAGGTTGATCGTTCAGTCTGCCCCCCCGAGCCCACTCCCGCTTGTCTTCGTCGCCGCGGCTGGGTCTGTCCGGGGGGGCAGAGCAGAATCGTGCTTTTCAGGAGCGATGGGGCGGGGGGCGGGCGGGGGGCGGGGCGAGGGGCGCGCGCGGGCGCTGCTGCATGACCCCAGGCGATAAAGTCCCATGAGCTACCTCTCCATGCGGTTGCCCAGATGAATTAGAGGCGCCCAAAATTGTTATCCTTGCTCGTCGTCGCCGTCGTCTGCGCCGTGCCCGCGCGGCCCGTTGCCGCCGCGATCCTCCGCGCCGTTAAAACTAGGCCCATCTGTTTCGTAGCCTTGGACGCGCGCCTGCGAGGCGGGCCCCGCTGCGCCGAAACCGATCAAGGAATGTCGCCGCGCCTGCAAGCGACGCCGCAACATGGGTTCAAAGTCCAGCGCGAGATAGAGCGAGACAAAGATATATATATAGAGAGAGAGAGAGAGAGAGAGAGAGAGAGAGAGAGAGAGAGAGAG